TTGGTGGTAATTTGGGGAAGAGGGTCACGTTCATGGCCTGGAACAGACTAATAGAGCAATTTAGTCTTCTCAGCGTTGAGAGAGAGGCCCAAAGTTCAGTAGGCTTCTCCAAATAGATCCAGTGCAGTCTAGAGGTTTTCTTCAGTGTGCACAAGAATGGTGCAGTTGTCAGTATATTGAAGGTCAAGGATGGTTGTTTTGAATATTTTGGGCAAAAACGTCACAGATTAGAAAGCTCTCTATCCATTCAGCATTCAATGTCAATTCTGGAAGGAAGGCTGTCCTTCATGAGAACCAGGATGACCGTCAAGAAAATGGAGAACAGAGTTGGGGCAGCGTCGCATCCTTGCTTGACCCCAGTTTGGATAACAAATGGACCTGTCTCCAACCCAGTATAAAGACCAGTCTCAGTCATCTGGATGTCGAGAAGCCTCAGGACCTTGATGTACTTTTCAGGACATTTAAATCTGGCCAGTGCTTTCCACAAGGCTTCACAATTGATAGGATCAAAGGCCTTAATAAGGTCAGTGAAGGTCATATACAGGTTCTGATGTTGTTCACAACACTTTTCTTGGACCTGGCAACAAAGATCATGTCAATTGCCCCACGGGATGGTCTGAAACTGCACAGATTCCAGCAGGACTCCCTCAGCAAGAATTAGAAAACAGCTCATGAGGATACGGCAGAGGATTTTCCCTGGTGTGGAAATGGGGGTGATACCTTGATAGTTCTCTTACACAGATTGACCTCCTTTCTTGAAGATAGTCATGATGTTGGCATTCCTTAGGTCCCCAGGGATCTCTTTGTTGTTACAATTTCAAAGGATAAATCTGTGGAGTCTCAGTATCATTTCCTCACTGCCAGTCTTATGGATTTCAGCATGTATGCCATCCAGTCCAGTAGCCTTGTCATTCTTGGTTTACTTGATGGCATCCTCCTTCTAGGATAGGACAGTTGGTCAGGGATCCCCTTTCAGAGTGTTTGGGGATGGACTTGATAGTGGTATCCATCACAGTTAACTCATGGTTCAGGAGTGCTGCAAAGTGCTCTTTCCATCTAGCTTGGATAGATTCATTGTCTTTGAGGAGCATTGAGCCATCCTGTGATCGCAGGAAAGTAGGACCATGGGAAGTTGGGTCATAAATGACCTTCGTTGCCTGGAAAAATGTCATCCTTGTGAGCATAGAACTGGATCTCCTTAGTTTTATCTTGCCACTACTGATTTTTGATTTTCCAGATACTCTATTGAGCTTTGGCTTTGAAGAGCTAATATGTTTCCTTGTTCTGCTGAGATGAGGTCTCGTATTGCTAAGCAAAATGAGCCCTTCTCTTCTGTTCAAGGAGGGCTCAGATCTCTGCGTTGCTCTCACCGAACCAGTCATGATGTTAATGGATGGTAGAGTCAATGGATTCAACACAGGCCATATGGACAGCAGTTTTAAACCCCTTCCAGAGTTCCTCATTGTTGCCTTCATTTGTGGGCAGGGCAGAAAGCTTTTCATGAAGACACTGTTGGAGATCCTTACAGACCTTCAAGTCTGGGAGAGATTTGGTGTTGACAGTTCTTCACCTTGCTTTTGGCTGTTTTCAGTGTTTTGGAACAAGCCATATGTTAAAAATGGATCTGATAAGACAGTGATCTATCCAGCAATCATCAGTTCCTTGCATGGCTCATGTGATACGGACATGGGCTCTAACAATAACATAGACAAGGATGTGCCAGTGCTTGGAACGAGGCTATCTCCAGGTAGTTTTATCTTTGGCACTGTAATAGTGGGCATAAAGGGTGGTTCTATACACTTCATCTCCTATATAGGTAAGTAACCTTTTCTTCTTTCTTGATTTCTCATACACTGTTGGTGATTCCCAAGCAGCACTGTTCAGAAGCAAAAACTTAGAGTCTAGTCAAACAGTGCTGCAGAACTTTGGAACGAAAAGTTTGCATAAGCTGTCGAGGTTTTCGCAATGAGATCATGTTGCAAAAATTACATAAATGTGTGGATGCATGACCATATAGCAACTCTGTAAATCTCCTGAATATTTCAGAAATGTCATCTAAGCCAGGGGTTGTCAACCAGGGATATGCAGGAAGGCCCTAGTGGGTATGCGTGGGTGGGCAGGGATGGCACACCACCCCACAGCACTGCATCCCAGGAGCAAGTTTGGGGGGGGGGGGGCAGCAAGGGCAGTGGTGCCCCTCTGTGGATTGCACAGGTGCCCACCGGCTGGCCGGATGGGGGGGAGCTTACACACAGGCGCCACCATGACCCACCACCCTGTGCTGCTGCCGTTCCGCATCCAGCTGCGCGCCCTCCCCCTTTGCCCCCTCCCACCCGCTCTGCGTCCAGCCACTGGGGGTACACTTATTAAAAAAGGTTTAAAATAAGTTTCCCCAAACAAGTTTCTGGTGACTATGTACAAATTTATAACAGCTACCATCACCGTTGCTAACAATTGGTATTTTTATTGGCATTCTCTGCAAAGAGGTGATGGCTGAATGACCGTACAGAATACACTACAGGGAATATGCATATAAGTAGAATACGCACTTCACAGCATAAGTGGAATATGCATGAGTGGAATATGCACTTATGCATGTTCCCTGCAATGAGCCATTTATTATTCAAGGGCTCCTGACAAACATTCAGTTAAATGTGCGATGGGATCTGATATGCAATCTCAACAATTATACCTTCTACCATGCCACATGTACATCTGAATCAGATCCCAGTTGTTCCTTACTGCTGGTTCAGGGAAGCCTAGGATCATTACTGCATGAGCAAGTAGCAAGCCAGGTGACCAGTACTCCCATGGCTGGGAGTCCTAATCAGTTGATTGACACTCCTAGCCATGGAAATGCATCAGAGCCCTTCAAGACTCTGGTGTGCTCCCTCTGCTGCGAACACTGGTCAGCTGATCAATCCACACTGACCACATATTCAGTTTAAGGAACGATGGGAACCAGCTACAAAGTTATTACTCATATTTTGTGTATTGGTTGTGGCTTATTTACAGTTTTTATTGCACCATTAATTTCATGAATGTGTGGCCAGATTACTACTAACACCTGCTGGGGGCCTAAGGTTATATCTACCTTGCACATTACGGATAAGCAGGCTATATTAGCCTGGATAGAGCACTGCACTAACATGGCTGAACTGCTTCTGGTACCCAGTATAGCTCTATCACAGGTAGCTTAAAGCATCTCTGACTAATATTTAAAAACTAACAGTTTAAAGTTTCTGCCTCTAAGCGTTGTATTTTTTCATCAGCCTCATAACTACTTTAATCTTTGCTCTTTATATTTTGCTTTTGATATTGTTCATGCCCCAGGTCTTACTACTTGAAACTTGTGCATTAGAAATCACAATGCCAAGGGTTAATAATAAAAACTGATATATCATTGTCTTGGAACGTAGAGGAAAAGGCTTTATATATTGCTGCCTCCTTTTTTATTCTGTTACATAAGAATGTTATTATAGAATCCTCAATGTCAAGAATTTTATCAGTACCAATTATCTTCATTATTGGTATATATCCTCTTTAGTTAGAATAATCTCAAGCTTTCTTATATTGCAA